ATGTAAACTAGTTTTCCACAAATAAAACTAATTTTTGTGTTAATGTAAAATCTATGCAAATACATGCAGTCATTTATCAGGAGAGCTGACAAGCATTCCATATTGGAGGGGGAAATGGAACTGCCTCAAGAATAGAGACAATTAATTATTTCTGTATTTTTTCTTCTTCTGTCTTGAGGCACAAAAGTTATCCATCCAGTTAAAATAGCAAATGAAATAAAGAGATTTTTTTTTTATTTAAACACATATGGCTTTTGCCTGCAATACTGATCACCACAAGGTCTACAGATGCCCGTGGCTAAATTATACACTGGCAGATGCACACAGGGGAAAACTGTGCTAATGCAGCGTGGAGAGCAAAACAAATGAAGAACTGAATTTGCTAGTAAAAGAAAAAACAAAAAACAAAAAAAAGCAAAAACCCCCAAACCAAAAGAAACCCTAAAATCACCCCCAGCCCCGACTCCCCACCCAGGGAGTTATGCAATTTGCTTATCAAATACAGGTCCAGGTTGCAAGAAACTTAACCATCATCTGTTGCAGGAAAGCAGAAAACAATTTTAAATCTATGAAACTGTTTTTAATGATACACATGCGTATTATGAGTGTGGGTGACTGAGCAGTATATTTGTATTATAGAAAGAGAATGGCTAGCGATGTTTACTCAATTTTGCAATTAAAAACTTATGATATTCAAACCTGCCACAGTGTGTGTATCTGTATATATACTGTCAGAACTTCCGGTTATTATTATTTAAAAACTCTGTTTAGCGTCATCTCTGGAGATATTACTGAAAACTGTCTAGGTTATCATGGACCAATCTTGCAGATGTGATATTATGTCCTGGTGGCCACAAGAATCCTGGATTTAGTAGTTGCTTCCCTTTAACAGGTTAAAATAAATGTATACAGGCCAATTCAATCTTTTCCTATCTGAAATACTGTGTGTGTGTGTGTGTGTGTGTGTGTGTGCGCGTGCACAGGCTATTTTGCAAACCATAAAAAGAGTATACTTTCTAAAAATGGTTTAAGATTATTAAGAAAGCAATAACTTCTTTCTTAATAGGCCTGTAAGCATGCATAACATTAAAATCTCTGTTGTAATTGCCAAATAAAAATATAAAACAGAAAATGTTTAAATAATTTTATATCTTGGGGAAAATAACAGAAGACTAGTTGGACTATTCCAAGTTGTAAAAAAGGCAAAATACTTGAAAGAGCATCTTGGTCAACGAATATGTCTGCTTTTCTACAATTTAAGCATTCTTTGTTTGGAGTATTTATAACCATTGAAATTTAAATGACAATGTATATTTATATAAAATTAGGATTAGAAGCATATGTTCCAAGAATGTGCATACGTTAATTAATATTAGTTCTAACAAACTCCTTGGCCTTGTCCCCCACCACTCAAAGGGAGGATTAATTTACTGAAAATGTAAAGTATAATGTAATTTAAATACTGAAAGGAGATTCATTTCTCCAGTGACAGAGAGCTAGTAACATTACCAATGTGCCTCAAATGTTGCTAACTTATATGAGGAATCCCTGTTTCTTACTACGCAGTTGACATTCAAATATAAACTATATTCGTAAGTCTAATACACACGTTCATGCTTGTGTAACGTATAGTAGCAGTTCGTTTGAAAAATAAATCTTTTACCTAGCATTAAGGTGACATATATTATATTTAAACAACTTTTATGGAACACAAAAAAGTGCAAATCGATTGCTTGCCGATCTGAAATATCATTTTGTACTCTGCCTCCACTTCAGTGCTACTGGATTAAAACTGGCCTTAAATTAGAAGTGAGATAAAATAGTAAATTCTAGAGGAATAAATAAAGATTTACAACCCAAGGATTTTTTGACATAAAAGTAAACCACCCAGATGCATATAAACGAATCATAAAATTTATGAATTAAAAAGTAAAATAGGGGCACGAGCAAACTTTTGTGGCAATGGAAATATTCTATGCCTGTGCCAGATGATCTGACTCTAGATATTTGCTAAAATTCACTGGATGGCACATTCATGTGGAAAAACCATAGAACAGAATGGTACTGTACACAAAATACACATCAATAAACTTGACTTAAATAATAGAAACAGATTTCACATAAAAATAAAATAAAGGTATACTTTCTATTTTGTCGGTTTCACAATTTTTTATTAGAAAGACTACAGTCTTACAAACTGTGCTCTCATGCTTTTTGATCTAGATGTGTAGACAAAATGAATAAACATGTAGATTAAACAGTATTAACTACTTAGTAGGATTTTGACTTGATATTTTTGATAAGTCATGGAAAATTAGGCTTTTTAGAAATGATACGCATTTGTATACTAAAATGTGTATTATTAGAATAATGAAAATAATCATAAGTGAAAATGAAATCATTATTTAGGTGGTGTATTCTCAGATGTTTATATCGCTATATCATATATATATATGCAAAACTATAAATGAAATTCCTATTTATAAACTAATTTCTTTCCTTTTCTATAAAGCATCTATTTTATTACATAAAATATATATGATACAAGGTAATAGTTTTCATTTGATGTAATTATTCTTTTAGATTATTACTCCAGTTGCTGATCATTAAAAAAAATAAATCCTAGTAGAGGAATTGCTTTGTTCATTAAAAAGTAAGCTCCAAAACTGTAAATTAGATGTAGAAAAGGTTACTTTAGACATGCAGTCACTGAATGTTGATTATCTACATACCATACTCTAGTCTCAAGGTCATGTTGAATATTTCCTGTGGCTTAATCACATACAGTATGGGACAGTAATGAGAGCTCTGCAGTCCGGGATGACCCACTACAGATGTACAGATTAAGACACTAATCGCATCTGATTCCATTGTTTTCTCTAAGAGCAATAAAACTCTAATGCGCTAAGAGTACTAAGGCTGTGGTCACATACACAAATGTCTATAAATCCGCGTGAATTATGGGTTGAGGAGTCCCTAGTTTTCATACATTCATAAAGAAAAGAACTGCATGAGCCCATTTATCTCGTCAGAATATTTCTACACTATCTGAATGAAAAACAGAGGCTGAAATCTCATAAAGTGAATTTGAATTTTCTACATCATAAAGAGGACAGTGACTTTCTGAAGGGTCTATGAGGAACTGGAATATTGGAACCGACACTTCCTCCATAATACTCAATAAATAAATGACTAACCTCAATATCCTTACATTTTTGGAAGAACGATAACAATCTGTTTTGAGCAATGAGAAAATCTTTCGGCTAATAAACTTCCCCTCAAATTTTTCAATATACACATGCAACTTAAAATATCCTACACCTCTATGTATACATTCAAATGAAGTGGGGAAAGTGAGCTGGTTACCTAAATAACCCAGGCTTTCAATTTCTTCTTCTACCAAAAGAAACATTTTTATCCAGAATTATCCAGAATCACTACAAATCTGCAAATCCAGCAGTGGTTATAATTCTGGTAAGGTACGCTTCCAGTGTCCATCTTTCATCTCAAATTTACTTTCTTTCCAACGTTTATTAGCACCAATAACAAATTTACTAAGGAACATTGTAGGGAAAGAAGTGGTCCCCACAACAAATACTGACCATAAGATGGGTACAGGGGGATGAGCAAAACTAAGGCCACAGCCCTGATCCTTCAAGTGAAGGATTAAGGAAATAATTTTTTAAAAGAACTGCAATCATCAGGATGCGCTGGCTGAAACAACAAAACAGGGAGGGTCTAAATTGTGTCAACAGTGACCTCATTTCTCTGCTTTACTTTATCATAAGCCTGATATTAAAATATGAAATAATTGTTTTAAGAAATCATTGAAACTTTTGAAGCTCTCAAGCTATTTTTTTTTCAAGTGTTCTTATACAAGGAGTCACAACAGGAAAAAAGGTAGAGATGCCATCAAATTAGATTACCAGAGAAACTCCCTCTATTTTACTTTATTTAATGTGACACATAAAGAAAACCCCGCACAAATATCTGTCTTTAATTTCTCTGGTGTAAAAAAAGAAATATATTGTGTCTGGCAGAATGAAGCAGATGAAATAGCCTGGGTGCATTTAAAAAACGAAGTGGGGGGAGGCAGAAATCAGATGCGTACAATGAGCCTTCAAAGCCACTCCAGCAGTAGGGATAAATAATTTAATAAACTCAACTTCATATTCTTTTTATCTCCCCAGTGTAATAAGCACATATTAAAAAAATAAAACTTTAAGTTCATGAATACTTGTGAATAGAAGAGCAGCCAGCAAATATGAAAAACACAAAACAATATCTATTTGAGCATTTAACATGTATATGCATATTCCCTAACAGATACATTTTTCTGGATGAAAGGTCACAATGGCTTAAATTTATGAACATGTAATTCAAATTTAAATTAGTTTTTTTAAAAAAAGCACAGATACCTTGCATTCCTACATTTCTCAACACAATAGTTTTTCTTTAACCCTAATAAGGTGACTATTTATGCATTACTTTGTGTATCCCATATAAATTATGTAGGGTTACAGAATGCGGGTAAGTTACTTAAGCAACAATACTTCAAGAAAAAAATATTTTGCCATTATTATTTTGAATGTCTGGAAATGGTAAGGATCACAGTATTTAATTGTTTTATACTCATTAATGCTACTAACGTGTACGATAATGGTATTTGTGACTTTTTGGGATTCTTTTCATAAACGGTGCATTTTAAATCAAGGCTGCCTAGTATCCTAAGTAAATGAAATGAAAAACTCAAGTCAGTTAGATCTTTAAATCCCAAATATCATTCAAACTATCATTAAATCATGAGATTCTTGGCTTTTTTTTCCCCCTTCAATTAGGTCAGTTTTCTTCAATTATCAGTCTATTATTAGCTCATGTCAAAGATGCCTGCACAGCATACAATGAAAACAATTAAGCATTTATATCCTAAAGCATGGGACACACACAAGCTTTTATTCTAGTACTAAGATTATATTTATAGCAAAAAAATAAGTAAGATTGGGATCATTAGAGTTGTTTTATAACTTCTCACATAAGTAAATAAATTGATTTTAAGCTATCCCCAGATAGTACATCCTCATTTGAAATAACCAGTTCAATAGGCCAAAGGTGTTTCAAAAAATTACTATAAAATAAGTTACTCCCACAAAACTATCTCCAAAGCCTAGATTAAAAGTGGCCGAATTACATAAAAATATACCATATATGTTAAATTCCTCTCCATAGGTCATTTCAATTAAAAAAAATTAAGGGATAGAAAAACATAATCCTCGAATAGTTTAATTTTCCCTTCCACAATGAGAGGTGTCTAAGATCACTGAAAGGTTTCAGCTACAGAAGGCAATTCATTTCACGTGTTCAGTGTAATAGAAAATCACTGTGTTGCAGCAACAAGCAGAACTTGCACTGGAGTATTATTCTAGGGCGCCCAGTTCACCTGCAGTGATAACAGCGGGTGGGTGAATCCTGTGTTATGTAAATCACTGTCAGCTCCCAGTGTGAAGGGTGCTGGAGGAAGCAGCCCAGAAAACACAGTCCCGGCGTCCTTGAAACAGAATGACTTCACTTCCCTGGAACATTCTACGACTAACGAGTTTCTTAGTCCTTTTCTCACCATCCATTTTTCTTCTTCAAAGTGCAAATCGTTAGTGAAAAGGCCCCGGTTACACCAATTAGTTTGCACAAAGTGCTTCGGTGTTTAGCTTCGCTTTAACCCAATTAAGCCGCACAGTGAGCCCCGAAGATGCGCCACCTGCGCGCCTGGCTCCAGCGAGGCCGGCCCGGCGCCCCTCGCGTCCTTCGCGTGAGACCCATCCGGACCGCCGTCCCACGGTGCCCCCCAAACGGCTCCGGGGCCTCTGCGTCCCAGGCTGCACGTCCTCGGCAACCGGGGACACTTGCAGGTGGCCCAAGAAATCGAGGGACGAGGTCCTCCTGGCCGAGCAATTCCGTTCTGAACCCCAGGGAGATTGCGCTGGGCACAGGAGCCCGCGGCCGACGACGAGAAAGCGCGGGGCTTGGCTGCGACCTCACGTGGGCCCAAGGGTGGCGGTCGGGGCCGAGGGGTTCGCGGGCAGGGGCCGTGGCCTGGAGCAGTGGAGAACCCGAGGACACCAAGTAAGGTTTAAAAGAATGGGCACACAGGGAAACAATGCCTATGGAAGAGAGAGAGGAAAAGAAGGATGGCTCGGGAGTGCGGAGCAGCGAGAGAGGGAACCTGCGCTGGGTGAGAGCCAGACGCGGCTTTTCCCCTGAGGCCAAGGCACTTCTTCGCCTTCTTGGCCGAGGGTTCTCGGGTACTGATTTGCCTCCTCTTCTTCCAACTGCCAAAAGGTAGCAGTGCATTCACCCGCAAAGCCTGCGAAGTGGGGAGGGGCTGTTCGGGTTGTTCCCAATCCCTGCTCCTAAGGGAATAGAAGGTTCCTGGGGAAAACAGTAGATGGATGCCATGAGCCCCAAATCTCATGTACTATTTTAAGCCAGATCGGAATATATCACTCTTGGATAAGGAGAAAAGGAAATAATAGATGGCTTTGTGACGCTCATACCTGTGCAAAAACAAATAAACAAACAATAAAGAAATAAAAAAAGCAAATGCTGGAGTAAAAAGTAGGAGCCTGGAACAAGATCTTGTTGAAAGCGGATCTGAAAGAAAGTGCCTACAGACCTGTTACCAGGAATTATAGGATTTTGCTGGAAATATTGTTAAAGAGATGGCATCTAAATTAAAGGTAGGCATTAAAAATCTACTTAGGTTTTAAAACCACTACATAATCCCTAAGTGGTATTTATTTCCTTTCCTGTACATTAAGGACACAACTGGTACCACCAGAAAAAAAACAAAACAAAACAAAAACCAAAAACATGTTCTACATAAATCCATTCTTCCCCTCCTGTTTCAAGTTTCCAAAATGCAGAAATGCTGATTTCTTTCAAAGTATTCCAAATGATATTTTAAATTTAAAAGCACTGCATGACTGCAAATTAATTTTCTTTTAAAATCTTACCCGATTTTTCCCTCAACCAAATCACATGAAATCCTATAACAATTAGAAGTCTACTGTCAGGTCACCACTAAGGACACTTAAGTGAGGAGGTATAATTATACATCAATAAGCAAGCCAGAAACCCTAAACCTGAACATTTTCAGAACAGTTATCTGCCAGTAGGTCTCATCTCCATGATCTTGCTTTAATTTCACATATTAAAACATAGCTATGAACTCACATTAATCTCTCAATCACAGAGATAAGTTATTTTTAAAATATTTCCACCAGTGCATACAAAGCTTACTGTCCTGATTATGTTGGGCAAGTCTACCAAAGTACAGAGGGCTGCAGTTGGGGAGGGGGGGAGTAACACTAAACATTTTTTAAACATCCTAACTTAAACTGGGGTAGACAACACCTAACAAAGCAATAATTTTCATATTCCTTTCAACAACTGCAAATGAGGGGAGAAAAAACAGAGCTAAAACACTGCATAATGTTTAAAAAAAAAAACCCCAAAAAACCAAACACACACGCACAAAAAACCCAACCCAAAACCCCATTCTAACATATAGGAACATCCCCTAAATGACACAGGCATCAGTCCATCTAAAGCCAACTTACATATACATGAAAGAGCAAACTCTCAACCTGCATTTAAAAAGACCTCAAGGATTACCAGACATTAATTATCTTACCCTAAATGCAAGTTACTGACTTTTGTTTTAGAAGACTCCATCTAGTTCACTAATTGATGGATGGCCATTAATACACCTGTATTTGCATTTCCCCTGCAAAAAGACAGGCAGGGTTTTCAACACAGAAGAGAACCACTTTGCCAAGTCTTTTCAAAACGTCAATATGCTTCAATTAATACCAAAGCTGAGAGATTCCTCTTGATTTCCAAAACTGTCTAGGTGGCCTGCGTGGTTTTCTGCCGGCAGCAGCCTCCTACCTTTAGTTTGTGTGCCTATATCCATGAGGGGGGATTAATTAGCCGGGTTGGAGCTGAAGGAGGCTGTCGTGACGAGCCCAGTGGCGATTGGCCGCCAGCCTGCCTGGCCCTGCCTTTATAATTTCCACACGAGTGCATCTGGGCTCTTAGACAAACCAACAGCAGCTTCTTCTGACATATACACACTCACACTCACCCCCGACACACTCAGCACACTTTTCCTCCATCTGATTAACAGTCCAGCATACACAATGATTACGGGAAAGCGTAAATAAATACGGAAAGGGTTGATTATTTTGACTACTGGAAGAGCTTTGCTGGGTCTCAGCGCAACTTTTGTTTTCATTACTGAGAAGGTGATCTCTCCATGCGTTTCTCTCACACAAGGATTCTTTAAAAGAGGAAGAAAGACCGAGAGAGGGGGGAGAACAATCTTTCACTTTAAGACCGTCTGGGCTCAAAGATAAAAGGAAGGGGAAAGCAGCGGCTAGGAATCCACCGCTGCAACACATCGGAGAGCGTTTTGGTACATTTCTGAGCGCGGCGGCCCGTTTCTCCACCGAAGTTGGCTCCAGCGCTAGCAGCCGCATTGGATCCCACAGCTTACTGCGAGACTCCGGTGTACAATCCGGATCTCTGCCCCAACATGATCGCGGCCCAGGCCAAGCTGGTATACCATCTGAATAAATACTACAATGAGAAATGCCAAGCCAGGAAAGCTGCCATTGCAAAAACTATCCGGGAAGTCTGCAAAGTAGTTTCCGACGTGCTTAAAGAAGTGGAAGTGCAGGAGCCCCGGTTCATCAGCTCTCTCAACGAGATGGACAATCGCTACGAGGGCCTCGAGGTCATCTCCCCCACCGAATTTGAAGTGGTGCTTTACCTTAACCAAATGGGGGTGTTCAACTTTGTGGACGACGGCTCGCTGCCGGGCTGCGCGGTGCTGAAGTTGAGCGACGGGCGCAAGAGGAGCATGTCCCTCTGGGTGGAATTCATTACCGCCTCCGGCTACCTCTCGGCGCGCAAAATCCGGTCCAGGTTTCAGACGCTGGTGGCTCAAGCCGTAGACAAATGTAGCTACAGGGATGTGGTAAAGATGGTGGCAGACACCAGCGAAGTGAAACTGAGAATCCGAGATAGGTACGTGGTGCAGATCACCCCGGCTTTTAAATGCACCGGGATCTGGCCGAGGAGTGCTGCCCACTGGCCACTTCCCCACATCCCCTGGCCGGGACCCAACCGGGTGGCGGAGGTCAAAGCGGAAGGGTTCAATCTCTTGTCCAAGGAGTGCCACTCCCTGGCCGGCAAACAGAGCTCGGCCGAGAGCGACGCCTGGGTGCTGCAGTTCGCGGAAGCAGAGAACAGACTGCAGATGGGGGGCTGCAGAAAGAAATGCCTCTCCATCCTCAAAACCTTACGGGATCGTCACCTTGAACTGCCAGGCCAGCCCCTGAACAATTACCACATGAAGACTTTGGTTTCCTATGAGTGTGAAAAGCATCCCCGGGAGTCAGACTGGGACGAGTCCTGCCTGGGTGATCGGCTTAACGGGATTTTGCTGCAACTTATCTCCTGCCTGCAGTGCCGGCGGTGTCCTCACTACTTCCTACCGAACTTAGATCTGTTTCAAGGCAAACCTCATTCGGCTCTGGAGAACGCTGCCAAACAAACGTGGCGACTGGCAAGAGAGATCCTGACCAACCCGAAAAGTTTGGAAAAACTTTAGAGGACAATTTAATCGAGAGCCGAAATGTGATTACTCTTCTCAAAGACCTGATTCAGTGTAAACTTCCTGTTCGATTCCTAATATTCCACTTGTCAGTGCAAACAATTTCTTCCTTAAAAAGGAGTAACAATACAACGTTTAGGCATCATCTCACCCACCCCTCCAAGGGGAGAAAAAGAAGTAGGGAAAGCGGATGGAGAAAAACCCAAACCCACAAGTATTAGAAGACTTCTTTACAAAGGATTTCCCTTGCAAAGTACACAGTAATACCGGGAAAACAACCTGGCTGTAATGCAAGACCACAGGGAACACTCTGCCTAACTTTCAAAGGATTATAGCAATCCTGGTGATTTAAGTGCATCTGTCTGTGAGTAAACACGATTTGGAAATGCCATCTGAAGGAAAGTGTAATGTATATTTTGATTTGTAACAAATATTGTGATCTCACTTTGTCTTTGAAAGTGTGGATGTTGGTGTTTTGTGATTTGGTGAACAGAAGTTAAATTGCCGTTTTGGAGACTGCCAGACATTTTCCACTAATAAAGATACCATTTAAAGGTAGATTTCCTCCTGGTACTTTTATCTGTCTTTGAAAGTGTCTGAACTTTAAAAAGTTTACATTTTGTTTCAAATATAATGCTTGTTCTATTTCTAACATTCCATAAATATACTTGAAATGTTATTTAAATATATTCAAAGAAATTTGAATTCAGCTTATATAATAACGCTTGAATATCTGAATTATATATTTGAAAAATGCACTTGAAATACACTGGATAACTACTTTTGTGATTTAGATTTTAATTTCTGTTGCTGGTTTTTATTTAATTAGAAGCTAATAAATGAAGTAAAATAAAAGTTGTGGTGTCTCACTTTAAATTGTTTTTCTATCAAAAGAGGTAATGCTCCATTTTGAAAATTCAAACCACTCGAGTATTTTAAACATTTTAAGGAGTATGCTAATGAAATTAAAAATAAAACCTTAAAATCCTGGAGATAACTCTTTGTACAGCTACAGAAGATAATGATTTACTTATAAGACTATTTCTTTCTACAACAGACACACTTAAATCTACCCTTGAAAGCTTGCTCTTCTAGATTAGTATTTCTGTAGCATTTTTGATAATATAAGGAAAAACTGTGTCATGACGGTACAGACTGCTCAGTTAAAAATTAGACTAACTCAGAGAAAGTGAACTTCAAGTCATAATGAAAGTTTCAAAATGTGTATAACTGTGCTAACCAAATAAAGATTATTTCTGACCATTTTATGTCAAATCTTATTTTATGCAGTAAGTGTTCCATTAGCTGAGTAAGTTAATCACAAATCCCAAATTTCTTTTTACTTCACAGGGCAAACTAATGATAAAAGCATAAAGACACACTTTTGATTATTTAAAAATCAAATACACTACATTCAAACCCATTTTAAACATTCCAGCCTTTGGGAGCTGGAAGTGCAAGAAGTCCTATGACTGTCCTTCCAAGTATTTTAATAGTCAACAAGTGCTGAGAGCACTAATCACCTACAGGCCTTAAGGTAGGTGGTTAATTCAGACGGGAATGAATTTTAGAATTTCAGTTCCTCTTCTACTAAGTGTTTAATGATACTTTTTCTCTATGTAAAAATTACATATAAGTAGTATAGTTCTGGATCTGTGGGCGCATTTGTCTTTGATGATATTAGAATAGTTCCTTCTGATAACACTGCACAGAAAGATCTTTATAAGCTGATGCTTGAATATCTGACATGACACTTGAATTCTTAACGTCAGGAAAAAAGTTTGCAAACTGCACAGCAACATAAAAGTTAAAACAACAATCAAATTGGTTTCAATGGAAAGAGCAGGGGTGTAGAGCTATCCTAATATCAGGTTTTAAAATCTATACATTAAGATATAATACATAAATATTTATATATTTCATACTGTCCAAGTAGGTATTTTTCTGGCATTACACCCACAGAAGAACACGAACTTTAAACATCTGATTGCTAGTATATACCTATATACATTTTAAATCAACGCTTCTCAAACAATTAGTTTCTCTTGTTCTAAATTCACATGTAAAACTCATTCTCACTTCAGGAGATGAAAAATTGATGTAATAATGGAGAGGAATTTATATCTAAACGCTGCTGCCCCCCCAGTTTCCTTACAACCTTTCAATGAATAGTAATTCACATTGCAATTTACACTGTTGGAAAGTAAAAGTCATCTTAAAATATTTCAGAAGACCCCTCCTGGTCTTCCCAGAGAGCCTGGGATGCTGTACCCCAGAGGCTTTGGAACAACTGACTTACCTACCGAATTTACCCAAGCGCACACAAAGGCACTCATGGATAGACTGTAATGTACATGCTCTGGTAACACAGGATTTAAAATCATTAATATATTTTCAATCCCATAAAATAGAGCATGTGTTATTTCATTCATTTTATTTCCTATGACAAAAATGGAAATGTGCTCCCCTCCCCCACTGTCATTTAAAACCAAGCAAAATTGAAAACCACTTCCTGCCAGAAAGCCACTAGTACTGTACACGAATCACTCTGACTCACTTTCGTGTCGATCTTCTTGAAGGCAGGATCATCCTCATCTACCTCGAAGTAGATTTCGGTCGTGGTGATGGAGAGAGTCCCCTTGGCCACCACCACAGGAGCGATGAGCTGGGCTGGGGTGCTGAGAACCACTGGGCCTGAAAGACAAGGGCACCGGCGTCAGTCCCTGTGGCCCTCTCCGCTCCCTCCCAAAGGGTGCCGCAGGTCTTTATTTTTAAAGATGCACTAAGAAAATGGTGCCAGTGTAACCCGGCCAGCTTCTTTCATGTGAGATAAGGTCTGCTTAGCTCTTGCACATTATCTTATAACAAGAGTAGAGATAAATAATCCCATAAAACCCCAAGTGGTCAAGATACCGAATAAGTGACCCTTAGCAAGCGAGTTTGTAACCTCCACCTAGAAATCCTATAAATGCTCGGATTCTCCATTGAGCACCACCGGCTTTCCGAAAGAGACCGCAGGCAGTCAGCACTGCCCCCAAAGACCAGCCATCCTGTAAAGCCGTTCCACTCGGCGGCAGCGTTCCCCAAGGATGGGCGGGAGGATGTGAAGGGGTATGGGATCTAAATATATAAATTCCACTGTACTAACGGGTTTGCATCTTGCAGGAGGATTAATATCAGCGTCCTAGGGCGCGCCACATCCATATCCACGCACACAAAGATATTAAGTACATTTCTTATATAGAAAAGAACAAAAATCGTTAACAGTGATCTTCTCACCCGCAATCAAAAGTGATGAAATTATAAGACGCTTGAACAAGAAGATTCTCAGAAAAGCGTCCGAAAAGTACTCTCTCAACTTGGAAAACTAGAGAAACTAATCTCCAGTAAAAGATTTTTAGAAAGTGTGCCTACTGAGGTGCTTACTTGGAATTCCCTCAGTCTGAGTTAACGTTGAAAATTACGTCTTAGAATATAAATTCGAAGGGGATTACTTAGCTGCCCTTTAAGATTCCCCAAAAGGGGAGGCATTTTTGGCTATACTGTACTTAAGATACAGACACGGAAATCAGAAATTATTCTTTTTCTTTGCTCTTCTCTTTTCTTTCTTTCCTTCCTTCCTTCCTTCTCTCCCCCCGCCCCTTTTTTCCCCTCTTCTTTTTTGGTAGCAAGGGCGCGTTATGTTCCCTTCCACCCGCCCCCCGCCCGCCCTGAAATGCATACAGTCAAATGAGTCACAATAACAGTAGGATAAAGGCAATAAAAAGGCAGGTCCCCTGCGGCCGCTCAGGCTCGGGCCCCTCGGCGGCGGCTCCTCCCGGGGAGACCGGCTCCTCTGGCCACCGCCAAGGCCACTGATAGCAGGCCCGACCCCGCCGGGCGCGGGAAATGCCGAAAAGTTCACGTTTCCAGGGAGTAGCACAAACTAAACCCGCGACCGCCCTGCACAAAGCCCGGCCGTTTCTGCTGCGTGGGGCACACAGAGGAATCGGCCGGCTTCTGCCGCGCTCAACGGGGTGGACGGGAAGCAAACTGTGTCAGTGTCGGCCTTCACCCCAGATCCTGACCGCCGGGCTCAGACTAACGCCAAGCCCTTTCTTTCAGTTTACTGCTCCCGGTCCCCCAGGAGCCCGCACTGGGGGCGAGCGGGAGGGCGGCCCCGGGGCGCGCGGACTCCCGGCCCGGGTTTCCGCCGCGGAGCCCAGCGGAGTCGGGGTCCAGCTCGGCTCCACAAGGTTT